CTTACTTTTTTTGTCATTTTTCTTAATAATATTGTTCTGAAAATGTCTTGGGTAGTCATTCTCTACCAATACTTGTTTTATTTTAGAAATTTCGTTTTGTTCATCCTCCGTATCTGTCACAATATGTTTAGCCCTATTTAATAGGTTCAAAGCTACTGTGGTTTTAACGTTCATTGGATGGTCAGATTGAAAATTTAGATACTTATCAGAATGTGTAGGTTTTCTGTAAATTCTAAGTTTAAATTCTCCTTCAGGGTTTCTTTGAACAAGACAGTCTAAGAAATTCATCGTTCCTACACCTGATTCGGTTTCGTTTGTAAATATTATGAAACTTGATATTGAGTTTAGGTGTTGTAAAAAATTTTCAAGTTCTGTTTTCTTAATGATCACAAAGGTATCATCTACATATCTATATCCTAGCTTGGGTTAACAATGAAAACTATTTAAAGCTCTTTCTTTGAATGCTTTCATATATATATACTGGCTACAATCGAGGATACTGGTGAGCCCATCGCAACGCCATTAGTTTGACGATATAACTTGTGAGGGAGTTGTGGAGATTTGGAATTATTTCAAGTTGTTATTCATCGTAGACTGACATCAGTTGGAGGAACAAAGAAAACCTGGGAGCACTGGACAGCTGTTTCGTCCTAGTATGGGACTCCTCAGCAGTGCGCACCCACGACCCCACCAGCAGGACAGATACTCAGCGTTGACATTGGGTGGTGGTTGCGCTATATATCGTGGGCTAACAGAAGTTGGAAATATGGAGCATTAGATTCTGACCCAGTGGCTCAATGGTAACGCGCTGGCCGCGGAACCTGAAGGTCGCAGGTTCCGTCCCTGCTGGTGGGGTCGTGGGTGCGTACTGCTGAGGAGTCCCATACTAGGACGAAACAGCTGTCCAGTGCTCCCAGGCTTCCTTTGTTCCTCCAACTGATGTCAGTCTACGATGAATAACAACTTGACATAACTTGTCTCTAAGTGTAAAATAAGTTGACTCTAAACATAATCTTTAGCATTTCATAATGTCTTCTGATGATAAAGGACATCCGCTTAATATTATTTGGTCGTTATCAAAAGGTCACCATTTAAATTTGCACTTTAAAATAACCAAAAACAACATGCATCAATTATTGTGGATATATAAACATATTTTTCATTTTTTTATATGATAAACAACGAATAACACATTTTCCATAAAAAGTTAACATACATACACTTACATGCACATTGATTATTGAATCGTTCTTCCATGATAGATGACATAGACTACAGTATGAATTTATGATGATTAACTGGAAACAATCAGTGTGAACAGCAAACACAGCTAACCAATTACATGAAGACAGAAATTTCTACATGTACCTTTTAACAGTATACATTTTGATGTTAAATGAAATCCGAATATTCTACTGAAGAAGCTGTGGTATACACAGTGAAAAGTTCAAAAAATCTTGTTTTCAATTTTCTAAACACGCTGGGATTAGTATAAAAACTTACCCATATAATGAATCAACCTAACTCGGCGCTCAACTTCTTTCAGGACATTAGTAAAAACTATGGCCTTGATTTTTATAATATAATAGTAGCTTCTCCTATGTAGAGAAGACGAAATCGTACCGTTTCCGACAAATTTTTTAGATGACTTTGAATGCTGAATCGATTGTGATGATGTAACTCCTGTTGGACATGGTGTTCAGTTATTTCACTTCTGATTGATCCACTGACACCTCTTTATAGTCAGGTGGGTTAATGTTCTCTAACTCGTTTAGAAAGAATAAGCGTTGAAAGATCTGCATACCTGGCTTAACATAAACAAGTGAATTGAAAGACACACATGATAGTGATCGGGTGCAAAAGCTTATCCTTCAGGTTCCCAGGACCTATTGGCTGACGGGGAAATACCATTCTCAGGGTTGACGCGAAGAAAAATTTCTTTATCGACTTAGAAATTCATCTCTTCAAGATATCATTGGTAAAGTCACTTTCGAAAGAAGCCCAGATTCATTTATACTATCTTCTCCAGAACTGTAACGGGTACCTCTGTGGTTCAAATTATGTTTTTGTCCATAAATTCAGTCACCGTCTATGCAATACTTTCGAAATCATCGACTGCATAGCAAATTTGAATGTAGCTGGGAAACATATTTCATGATTCAACGTAAAATCCCATGTTCATCAATGTACCACTCACAGAAACGACCTGTGTTTTTATGGAAGTTCGCAGGTGATAAGAAATTGAATATTTGAATTATCAGCCCTATATCTAAATGAACTGGTGCTTATGTATATATATATATAGGGTCAATGTGTCAAAAAATACACAAATCGAAGAGTTTTTATTCATGGTCATGAGGTTAGCTGATGAACTAATCTCATTTACCGTCACTTGGATTTTTTTAGAAATCAGAGTTGAATTGTATCCTTAGATGTTTATGTCTGCCAAATAGAGGTTAATGGCTATTCGCACTGATGGATAATAATTCTAATCACTTCACAATTATAGCAAAGTAACACAAGAATTCCGTTGACTGAAACCATTGGTAAACCTTAGTATCAACCTATGTTGCTAGAATTCAAGCTTTTGTGTCGATCAATCTAACTTTGATGCCTATGGATACACAGTTAATTGGTTAAATCTTTTTTAGCTATACCTGATATGTATCTATTGAAGGATTTGTAGTTGGTACCCCTCCAAATATATGGTAAATCAGTCTATCCATAAATTGTCATTTCTCCAAGCAGACATTCTTTATCTGAGCTAAGCTTTCGGTTATCTAATGTAACCACTCTTGTTATCATAACTCAATTGTACAGGAGGTATGTTGCATGCAAAATAACTCATACTAAGTGGTATGAAAACCGGATGCAGTAATTCGCATTGATGATATCTAAATATTTTATGTTTGGAAGTCCTGAACGCCATAAAGCTACTGAAATGTAGGAAAGCAGCAGGACCAGATGGGATCCCGCCAGAAGCACTGAGAACAGACGCAGAGACAACAGCGGACATGCTCACACCACTATTGCAGAAAGTGTGGAAGGAAGAGAAGGTACCTGCCCATTGATTGGAAGAAGGGTTACCTTGTCAAACTTCCAAAGAAGGGAGACCTCAGTGTTTGCAAGAACAGGCGCGGAATCACTCTTCTGTCCACCCCAAGCAAAATATTAAGCCGCATCATTATGGAAAGACCAAAGGATGCGCTCGATTCAAAACTACAACCGGAACAGGTAGGCTTCAGGAAGTACAAATCATGTGCGGACCAAATTGCAACGCTTCGCATCATCATAAAACAGAGTATAGAATGGCAGTCAACTGGATCTTTACCTCAACTTCGACAGCGTCGACCAACAAATAATTTGGCAACTGCTCCAACACTATGGAATACCACAAACCTTTAGCAACCTCACTCAACAACTATATGAAGACGCCACATGTCAAGTAATTCACAGTGGGAAGCTCAGTGATGCCTTTGAAGTGAAGAATGGAGTAAAACAAAGCTGTCTACTATCACCCATAACATTCCTGATTGTGATCGACTGGATCATGCATCAAAAGTGAGGAGCGAGAAGAGGGGATACGCTGGCTGGACCGGTGAAAAGATCCTAGATGATTTGGATTTCGCCGATGACTTGTGTCTAATGTCACACTAACTTGAATACCTACAGGCAAAATCCAACAAGTTGGCAGAAGAGGCAGGGAAGAGAAGACGTGACTTCAAGTGAACGTAGTGAAGATAGAAGTGATGATGATCCCAAACCAACAACACCAACAACAACAAAAAGCTCCAATCACCATCAACAGGAGAAACTTGAGGGAGGTAGCCTCCTTCGCCTATCTAGGCAGCATCGTCTCAACTACAGGTGGCACAGATGAGGATGTCAAAGCCAGGATCGGAAAGATAACAAGACAGGCCTTCATTAGCCTGAAATCAGTGTGGAGATCTACTGCACTCTGCATGAAGCCTGAACAAGGTCCGGATTTTCAACATCAACTCAGTCAAGTCAGTGCTTCTGTATGGTTCAGAGACCTGGCACGTTACGAAAGGCATTTACAACAAACCACAGACATTCATCAACAACTGCCTACGTTGGCTAGTTACTGAAGCTCAGATGGCCAGAAAGAATAAGCAACAAGGAGCTCTGGGAACGAACCAATCAAGAACCTATCACCCAACAAATATGCAGAAGAAAGTGGAGATGGATTGGGTAAACACTGAGAAGGCCGACTGGGGACATCATGCACCAGGTCAGTTGCTCTAGTGGAACTCAGATGGGAAACAACGAGTTGGGCGTCCAAGTCGAGGGTGACATGGAGGAGATCGTATGAAGAAGAAATGAGAGCTTGTGTGCTGTCGTGGAGCCAGGTTCAAAAGTTTGCAGAGAAGAGAGTGGAATGGAGACGTGCTACTGAAGCCCTATGTTCCACCAGGAACCCAAGGGACTAATAATAATAATAATAATAAAGAAAATGAAGTCATTTGATTAACTGAATTAGCATGGACCGTTTTCTTCCTTTTATCAGAGTTCATTTTACAAACCTGTATCATTTGAAACTTGTGAGTTTAACGCTGGATAATTAAACATTTTGAGCATTCAATGTTGATTTTGTAGTGTAGCCAAACTGGGAACTATTGTTTGTAATGAAGGTTTAAACTCACTTTAATTATCCCATTATGAGCAAGAAATTAGTGTCAGAATCTTGCTTACAGCCTGACATTTGGGTTTGTTTGTTATTACGCAATCCTGCTGACGTTTTGGCGGGTTGTCACTTTAGCTGCTAAATGACTTCGACGATAGAATGGGGCGGTTATCTCCGACTATGATTTGAAGTAGTTGTTTCAGATATTTTAGATATACCCGCATAAAACTGATTGTTTCGCTTTTCTTCCTTGCATATCTATTTGAGTATGCATCAGTTACCTTAGACGTTCCATGGTATTTTATTAACCAGGAAAATAAAATTTCTTGTTCTCTTTTATTTCACTCTTGTCTAGATATGACTGTTCTAGTGCAGATTTAAATCCCATTGGAAGTATTAGTAAATCAGATCTACGACTGTTCATTGCTCATTGTGCTCAAACATTTCCCAACTATATGAATTCTGCAAATGGAATAAAATTTTCAAAAGTGTTATTTGATATTTTGTCGACTCCTCCAACAGCTGAACTGATCCCGCTAGCGTCAAACGGAGATATAAGTCAGACAGATGAATATGAAATGGGATTAACCTATGATGAATTGTCATTGTTTGGTAGGCTTCGAAAAAAAGTGAACTGTGGACCGTATAGTATGCTGGAATCACTTTTAGATGGCAGTTGGTTACAGATTAAAAAGGTGATACCCGATAACTGTTTCAAAGATGGTAAACCTACCACTGAACTTGGTAAATATCTTAGTGACAAAGTGAAATTGTTCTTTCGATCTTATGCTATGAATCGTCATAAGGCTACTATTTTACCACCAGCTTATCATACTGAGGCCTATAGCGCTGATGATAATCGGTAAGTTCTTCTCTTGCCATTGCTTTTTTGAATAAAAATATTTGACCTACAATATTAATTAGTAGTTTACAGTATAATAAACGGGAAATGTTTATTAGCGCGTCTTATCTATCCGTTTCAACTAAAGAGTCGTCTAATCGCATGCTTAACATATCAAATTTAAGATACTGCTACAGAACTGGGCTGCACAAACCTCTAGGTCAAAGTTGAGCCTTAATACCGACAGTGTGGTCTACAGATAAAAACTGAACTACCATAAGTTCCCTGCTTGTGTCTTGTCTGGGTAGCTGTCACCTTAAGTCAGCAATCGTTGGTTTTGTTGCGTTTAAAAGTATGTGGACGACATATTCGTAATCTAAAATGATTTGAATTGTGTCATGGAGACATCTAGCTACTATCATACTTCAGTTAAACACACATTTGATTTTGTAAGTGCATCAAGAATTTCTTTTCTACATTGGACAAAATCTACTGGAAGCTGACATAGAATAGCCAGCTTTCACAGCTTGGTACACATAGGCGTCTGATCCTATCTTTTACCTACTGTAATCAATGAATCTCCAACCTTGATTGCTTAGAGGAAGAACTTTCATGATTGAGAAATAGGTACTTTGGAAGAATTAACTAATCAATGGATACTGAAGAGCGGAAACGTAATCAAAGTTTATTTAGTCGATAAAGATTAAATGAATTGACCCTGAAATTTCAGATCCATGCGTACATATCCTAAATTATATTTTTGTTAAATAGAGGAAGAAAAATAAAATTGAATTAGTTTGTACTGATGAGAATAAATGCTATTCTATTTTGTTCGTTTCTTTCAAGTGTATATTTCAACATTCAAAGACCGTCCGGTTGGCTTTTATTTCCTACTCTTGACTTTCATGCTGCGTGACTAACAGGAGACAGTAAACACAAGTATCGAAGTTCAACAGAACATAAATTAGGCACACTTAGTTTGTAATGATACACATACTTTCATGGTCCCAACTGAATGATAAAGCGGTATCTATAAAATCATAAGACGTTCAAAATTTATCTTTCTACAATTTGTTATCGCTTCACTTATTGTTCTTAATCTGTACTGATTTTTATTTTCTATGGTTATCTTCAACAAGGCAACTTGAGTTAAATCATACTTCAAAGAGTCATAACAGAGCGTTTCGTAGTTTCTTAATTCATAGGTGTATTTTATCATAATGATTCATATTTTGTTTAGTGTAGTTGGTAGCTTTTACTTGGTGCAACGTTTCGCTATACATTTCCAGCCAATTTCGAATCATTATTCAAGGTACTGTTCCACCATCTAGAAATATATCGGTATATACTGATAATGAAATTAAAAAGAGTTTAATTTATATAATGAACTTACGGTGAAGTTTATTCTAGCCACTCTACTGAACAAAAGGTGTTATTCAATATTTTTAGCTATGTTCATTCGTCATAGTGGCATATTCAAATTCAGAAAGTCAGTGACGCATTCACATAAAGAGTTCGCTTCATGGCGAATATTTGTAGTTCAGAATATGAACGTTCACCGTGAGTTGTCCTTTGAGCTGGGTTTTTAGTTGGCAGACATCTCATTGCCATACTATATGTCGTCACCAATACATCAAAGCTTCACTAGGAGGTTAAGTAAGTAATTGGTTGTCCAAGAACATTTATAACGTGCTACATTGCCTGAGTGTAACTTGATTGGTCACTTGGTAAGTGTATGGACCTATGCTGAACCTGATGGGTTAACTTCCTGTCTCTAGTTTTCTCAGAGGGGCGTATAACTACGTGATTGGTTGATTTCTTCCTTTTGCTTGGAATGTACTTAGTTCGCTTCATCGTGACTAATTTTCCCTTTTTAATGATAGAAGTCATGATGGTTGTTTTGATTCGATTAGCTGACTCGTATATGTTGGACAGGGGGGGGGGTGCTTTAAGCTAATTGGTTGATTTGCTGCAGCTGAAGTTCACTTTCATTTTCACGGAATTTTATTGTATGCATAGGTGGCTTATTCGAAAACACCAGGTTATTGTTTACATTATGGAGTTTTATTTAGAAAGGAGACTGTTATCTCTTTACATTGGTGGTGTATTTCCAAATACACTGCGAAGTAATTGGAGTTGGGCCTATACTATTCATTATCATCAACCGTGTTCACTTGTTAGGTTATTTTAGTTTGATATATGCAGAGAATATGTCTACTCATTTGATATTTTGAATTAAAAGTGCGTCATACCTTCTGTTCAATTTACCTTCCAGATTCGATTTTCGACCGTTCTTGTACCCTTGTGATTGGGATCATCAATTCCGCTGTTTAGATACACTAGTGGCGAGATGGGAACAGCAGTTTCAATAATGACTAATAATTCACTATGTAATTACTGATATTTCTGTACAGAATTTCTACTACCATAACCAATAGAAATAGCTTAATTATTCTCATCTTTGTAATGTTTTCTATTTAAAGTGTACATTTTGCAGTAATTTTGTCTGTCGACAACCAATGACTGGATAAAAAAACAGTCATCTGAAACTTGTTTCAACTGTCTATATAATGATATTTGTCCCAGGGAAAACATAACTGAATGCAATTCAGTATATTCTATGTTAGAAGATGTCTCGTTCATGCTGTATACTACTTTTATTTAAGGATTTTCTGTTAAATATTTCTTCTCGGGATGTCTAAGTCTTGACCTATCCTTTTCTTCATTGCTTTAAAGTTTCCATTTAACAATGGATAAAGTATGGGACATGTAAACATGTCTGAGATGCTATAAATTTAGGAATTCATGTTCCGTAACCCAACATATATATATATATATCGATGGAGTTTTGTGCATTCATAGATATTTTCTGGTCATCCATGAGGGGTTTTACATTATCTTAAGTCCTTGGAGAAGTTGATTTACTCACAGGCCAGATATCAAATGACAGAAAAAAAAATTGACTGGATGTTACAAAAATGAGTCCAGCATCTCAGAAAGCATCAAATATCCAAAGGATTTTGATTGTGATTGAAAAATGGTTAACATCAGATCGGGAAATATTGGGATTCTCTGTCTTCAGTCTGTATCATTTCTACGGGAAGTGGTCTGTTGACTAAGAAGATGAATTCTTCTCATTTCAATTTGCAAATAACTCTAAGTATAATGGGATGATTAACTTAAGTCTACTTTTTTCGGCGAATGCTTGTAAAAATTGATAAAGTTTAATAGTAAGGGAAAAACTAACTGGTATAGCAAATTTCTTTGGGTAGGTGGATGGAAAGACAATTCTAAAATTTCAGCAGTAGTGTACAATAACATAATTAGTGGTAAGAAATTCAGCTGTCAGTGACGACTGGAAGAAAGCAAGTCCTGTTCGAGCAATTCGATCGATAAAATAGCGGGAAAGGTTACTTAGGTTAAAGAAATCCTATCATCTCAAAATATGGTTGAGGAGAGTTTCAAGGTAACCGGATTGCCACGTTTCGGTATTCGGTGCATACATGAGGTGCAGATTCTGCCTTAAAAATCACTAAAATATGAGTGTTGCGTCTTAGATTCACTGAGATTATTCTGAATGACTAATTCAAGGCTGAAAACCATTAACCTTTTGAAGATTCACCTTCATGTTGAACCTCATAACCTACCCGCTAAACTGTCATTACAAACAAGCGCAAGTATAGTCTTCAACTCGCTCTTCGATATTCGACTCAACGGAGTCTGATAGCTTTTTCTAACTTCAGTCGTCAGTACTGAATCCTGGCTGGTCACGAAGTAGTTAATGATGTAAAATGTACTTAAGGCAATAAGGCGTATCTGAAAGTTCTTTTGAGGCGATGTTGTGAATAAAAACAAAATATCATGGATCATCCATCTCTTTACTAATGTTTACCATGTTTAAGATACATTGAGTCCACTATCCTTGCTTATCACCGAGTGAAATGACCACATTTGTAAGGATCTGCTCATGAATTGGAGCACTTCTGTGACTTTTCTCTTTCCCAAAGTTGATTCTTTCTTTCCTGATGAGCACAAACTCCTGTATACTTTTTCAAGTTCTGTCAGTAGCGCTAATCTTCGTAGTGCTAGGAATCTTGAGACCCACAAAATGGCTTAGTTTTTGACCATTTACTCAATTTTGAGCTGTGAACTTTCACAGGTTAAGATTGTGGGAACCTTTTTAACTTATACTAAACCGTTCTCTATTTCGGTACCGTTTATCCTATAAACTCAAGGTAGAAAGGAAGTCTTGAAGTGGCCAGATTGGATCATTCACTCAATCCGTATGATTAACAGCTACATTAATAGTGATGTGTGGAGGCGTAACTTTTTTTGGAATCCACGACACAACTAAGATCAAGGGTTACTAATTTTATATAATTTATTATTTGTCCCTTGGGTTCCTGGTGGAACATAGGGCTTCAGTAGCACGTCTCCATTCCACTCTCTTCTCTGCAAACTTTTGAACCTGGCTCCACGACAGCGCACAAGCTCTCATTTCTTCTTCATACGATCTCCTCCATGTCACCCTCGACTTGGACGCCCAACTCGTTGTTTCCCATCTGAGTTCCACTAGAGCAACTGACCTGGTGCATGATGTCCCCAGTCGGCCTTCTCAGTGTTTACCCAATCCATCTCCACTTTCTTCTGCATATTTGTTGGGTGATAGGTTCTTGATTGGTTCGTTCCCAGAGCTCCTTGTTGCTTATTCTTTCTGGCCATCTGAGCTTCAGTAACTAGCCAACGTAGGCAGTTGTTGATGAATGTCTGTGGTTTGTTGTAAATGCCTTTCGTAACGTGCCAGGTCTCTGAACCATACAGAAGCACTGACTTGACTGAGTTGATGTTGAAAATCCGGATCTTGTTCCACATGCTGAGTGCAGTGCAGAAGATCTCCACACTGATTTCAGGCTAATGACGGCCTGTCTTGTTATCTTTCCGATCCTGGCTTTGACGTCCTCATCTGTGCTACCTGTAGTTGAGACGATGCTGCCTGGATAGGCGAAGGAGGCTACCTCCCTCAAGTTTCTCCTGTTGATGGTGATTGGAGCTTTTTGATGTTGTTGCTGGTGTTGGTTTGGGATCATCATCACTTCTATCTTCACTACGTTCACTTGAAGTCACGTCTTCTCTTCCCTGCCTCTTCTGCCAACTTGTTGGATTTTGCCTGTAGGTATTCAAGTTAGTGTGACATTAGACACAAGTCATCGGCGAAATCCAAATCATCTAGGATCTTTTCCTCGATCCGGCCAGCGTATCCCCGTCTTCTCGCCCCTCACGGTTTGCTGCATGATCCAGTCGATCACAATCAGGAATGTTATGGGTGATAGTAGACAGCTTTGTTTTACTCCAGTCTTCACTTCAAAGGCATCACTGAGCTTCCCACTGTGAAGTGCTTGACATGTGGCGTCTTCATATAGTTGTTGAATGAGATTGATAAAGGTTTGTGGTATTCCATAGTGTTGGAGCAGTTGCCAAATTATTTGTCGGTCGACGCTGTCGAAGTTGAGGTAAAGATCCATTTGATTGCCATTCTATTCTATGTTCTTTGATGATGATGTGTAGCAAGGCGTTGCAATTTGATCCGGACATGATTTGTTCTTCCTGAATCCAGCCAGTTCCGGTCGTAATTTTGAATCGAGCGCATCCTTTAGTCTTTCCATGATGATGCTGCCTAATATTTTGCTTGGAGCGGAGCATGATTCCGCGCCTGTTCTTGCAAACACTGAGGTCTCCCTTCTTTGGAAGTTTGACAAGATAGCCCTTCTTCCAATGAGTTGGCAGGTACCTTTCCTTTCTTTCTTGCAATCTTCTTCAGTACTAATATGAGCATGTCCACTGTTGTCCCTGCGTCTGTTCTCGGTGCTTCTGGAGGGACCCTATCTGGTCCTGCTGCCTTCCCGCATTTCAGTAGCTTTATGGCATTCAGGACTTCAACTTTCGTCGGAAGGTTTGTGTTCACTTGTAGTTGTGTGGCTGCAGGTGGTATTTCTGGACGAAGTGCAGGTGGTGGTCGATTCAAGAGCTTCTTGAAGTGGTCGGCCCATCGTTTCCTCTGTTTCTCTTCTTTCATAATTAAAATCCCTTCATCATCTTTTATTGGTTTCGGCTGCGTTGATCTCCTCCCAGATAGCAACCTGGTTATTTGATACAATGTTGTCAGGTCTCTCTTACCAGCCCTTATTCTGTTCTGCTCCACTAGCCAGTGTGTCGTGGAAGTGTCTTTTGTCTTTGCGTGCAATCTTCTTCACTTCTTTGTCCAGTGTAGTGTTTTATACATTGTACTCAGTTTCTCTTCTCGTTGTTCATCCTTGCACTGGTTTATCTTCTGCTTCACCATCCTCCTCTCCCTGCTCTATCAGCTTCCATGTGTCTGTCGAGATCCATTACTTGTCTTATCTCCCTTCTTCTTCCTTCCTAATACGGCTGTGCAGGTTTCTTTCCACATAGCTTTCAAAGACTTCCAGTGTTCTTCCACACAGGTTTCTTCAGGGATGTTCCTCCATATCTCCCATTTTATCTTGATGGCTGGCTGACGTGAAGATTTCCTTTGTAGTTTCGTCCTTCAGTTTCCGAGTGTTGTACTTGAACTGCGGTCTATCACCAGCTTCCTTGAAGGCTTTTAGCTTGATTTGGAAGGTTCCTTGTACTAGATAGTGGTATGAACCTACATGTGTTCCCCTTCTTGATCTTGTGTCAAGTGGGCTGCGTCCCCACTTTCGTGAGATTCAGATGAAGTCGATTTGATTTTTAGTGTGTCCATCTGGCATCTGGTGAAACCAAATCCATGTCGCTGACTTATGGATACCCTTGTGCTTGAACACACTGCCTGACTTCAATCACCAAATCGTTGAATGCACAGAATTCTGCAAACAATTCTCTATTCTCGCTCATTTCACCTAGCGCTTCTCGACCCATGATGAGTCCTCTTCCTGTGTTGTCCACTCTCAGTTTGGCATTCATGTCGCCCAACAGAATTTTGATGTCCCCAACTAGAGTCTTGTTCAGTTGTCTGTAGAATTCCTCCTTCTTCTCTTGGTTCGTGTCTTCATTATTTGTAGGTGCATAGCGTAGCATTGTATGATTGTGACTTTCCTTCCTTTTGAGTTGAATCCATCATGCTGTCATGATCCGGATCCTGAAGGAGGAGATTGGTTCCCACTGCATGGGAGAGAGCCTTCGATGTTTTTGGAGACATCATGATAGCCACTCAAAAACTCAGTGTGCTCATGGTTGTCGACTCGGTGACAATATTGGAGTAGATTATTGACTCTCCAGTTGACAGTTGAGAGAATCCACTTCCATTCCACTTGCTGTCGCAGATTTCAAGCACTTCCATGTCATACCTTCTCATCCCCTTTGCAATCTGAGC